TCTCTCTCTCTCTCTCTCTCTCTCTCTCTCTCTCTCTCTCTCTCTCCGCCTTCGCCTCTTTTCTTCTTCTGCTCTTCTTGGGTTCATTTTATTTTCTATCTACCCTGTCTTTATCTGTCTTTACTTCATGGTGGTGGTTAAGATCCATCTTTTGTAACCAAATGGATATGTGTTGGTGGTCAACCTGCCATCATTTGCCCTAAAGTTTTATGAACAGGCAGCTAATGAAAATATTTCTCCTAGGCCTTGTTTTATAATAAAATGAACTGACCTTGTGAGGTATTTTCATTTCTCTTGTACTATTTACAGGAGCACTGGTTGAATATTACACCATTGGCAAACAAAGCATTAAGTTCCACTTTTTGGTTTTTCGTTTCTTGTTTATTTTTTGCTTTCATATAATTTATGTTTTTTCCAAGCTCTTCTAGCTTTATTTTTCTCAAAATTTTGTCCCCTAATTTTTGTCAGATTTTTTCCTTATTTAGTTTTCTAGTGTCCATGCTATGCATTGTTTTGCCTATGCTTAGTTTGATGATTACATGTAACATGAACTGACCCGGCAGATCACTGCAGGTGTGGATCTCAGGTCATCCAAGGTTTGTGAGCTTGGTCCACTCAATTACAGAAACAAGAATGTGTTGTATCCTAAAGAAAGGCCAAGACATAAGTGTCACTACGATTATTACTGGGCTTCAGTTTTTCAGGTATTCCCTTCTTTTCCTTTGAGGGGTACCCATAAGCATATTTGTTATCTGGAAATATGCCGGAAATTTTATATCATAAATAATGATATTATTCAACTGATATTTGCTGTGACAATCCATTAAGACTGCTGAGCTTCTGGGAACAAGCTCCAGAGCTCCATGGAAGAACTTAATACTCCAAGGTTTGCCAAGCAAATCATGTTAGCATCTCATTGAACATAGTGGAAACACATAATACAGAAATTACAGCAATATTAGTGTCAAAATTTGCTTGTAGTTAATGTTATAATTAATTTTGAGAAATATGATTCTCCATGCCTTTGTCATGTTGAAGATTACAATAAGGTAAGACAGAGTTGTTTGGGAACAGTATTACGCATTGAGAATCTTTGGTGAAAGGTTGAGAACCATAACATTCTATCATAGCAGTGTTTAAAACCTGCCCAAGTCACTCAAAACCAGCCCCATGTGGGTTCTGGATGAAACTGACAAATTATCCGAGACTATACTGAGCCTTAAAAAGTCCATTCAGGTTCTTAAAAGAACCAGTGATTCTGGTCCAAGCCTTGACTGATAATACTCAGGACTAGACATGCCAACTAGGACCTTCCCCCACCATCTTTTCGAATACTGTGTCAGACCATTGGATTTGGCCTTGATGTCATAATTGGGTAGCTTTCAATGCAACCTACTATGGTTGATCAAGATGCTGCCCTAGAATCAGCGGGGGGCTGTCACACCATTCACCTGTTAAAGCCAAGCAGTTTCTTGTTCTCTTACTATTCTACTTCAACTTTCTTCACTCTTACACTGTCTTGGTAATCCGTCTGGTAATCATTTGGCCTCAGCTCACCTCAATCTTCTTACTTGATGTCAAATATTTCCCTCCATTTAGAAGCAAATTACTATTGGAACCTTAGTTCTACATGAGGTCACTTCGATGCTGAGCAATCCCATCTTCCTCTCCGCCAAAAAAAAGGGTAGCCCTGTGGTTCATATGGAATTTGGTTGCATGATCTTTCATGTGTCCAAGGCTTGTCTTCTCTTGGTGATTCCTAGTCAATTCCTGGTAGGAAATTGTTTCTTCATTCGTTCCTGCTCTTGTTTCAAATATACCATGAGCATTTCCCAGACTCAAGCATGGACTTGCCATGGCCCTCAGTCCGACTCGGAGGCTGAGCGGAGGTCTGATTCTGTGAGTCTTTTATGAAACATAAAATAAAAATCTGTGAGTCAGGTCAGACTCTCCAAATCATAGGTTGATTCATCCACTACGTGGTCTGAGTAATTTGGGCGAGTCCTAGCCCCAGTCAGCAATTCATTAAACACTAGGCATTTCCATCAACTGTAGATTATACTAGATTTTTTTTATTTTTTATTTTTTTAAATGTAGATATCTATTTGTTTACCTGTCCTCCTACTGGCTGGCACAGGACCATCTTCTACTTGGCTTATTCAATTCCATTTGACCAAATCGTGAAAGAAGTTAAGTATGTCTTGTATTCCATCTCCTAGGAGCTGAAGCTTGGTTGCTTCATTTTTGGTCTTTGAATGTCAAAAAATGCAAGCGTTATAAGATGTAGATCTCTGAGATTATTTTACCAATTTTAAAGGTCAAAATGATACAAGATGACAGGAAAAAAAACTGAAGATGCAAATGATATTGGTCAGTCTAAGACAGAGTATATGGAATGCAAATTTAATAATAGTAGGAGTAGAGACAAAGAAGTAGTTAACATTGACGGACACGAAGTACAAAAAAGACTGCACTTTCGATATCTTGGGTAGATAATTCAGGAAAATGAAGAGATTGAGGAAGATGTCGCACACAGAATTAGAACTGGGTTGGCGAAGTGGAGATGTGCAACTGGAATTTTATGTGATCACTGCATACCAATGAGGCTGAAGGGCGAGTTCTATAGGACAGCGGTGAGACCAACTTTGCTCTATAGGGCAGAATGTTGGGCATACAGAAAACAATATACCCATAGAATGAATGTAGCGGAGATGAGGATGTTGAGATGGATGAGGGGCAAGACAAGAAGAGATAGAATTCGAAATGAATCTATTCGAGAGAATTTAGGCGTGGCACCAATAGACAATAAAATGAGAGAGAGTAGACTTAGTTGGGCTGGCCATGTGTGGCGCCGACCAAATACAACACCTGTTATGAGGTGCGAATTTGTTCAAGTAGAGGGACTGAAAAGGGCAAGGGGTAGGCCCAAAAAGACGTGGTTGGAAGTATTCCGAAAAAATATGGGGATATGGCATTTAATAGAGCAGAATGAAGAACCATGATTCATATAGGTAACCCCAATTAATTGGGAAAAGGTTAAAATGTTGATGATAAAATGATATAAGTTGATCACACCTTTCATCTGTAACCAAATTTCGTGAACCATTTCTGCAATAATTGGCTTTCAAGAATAATAATTCATTCAAAAATTCAACACTAGTACTTTTGCAAACATTTTACCGGACTTTCTCAGAGGCCCTTCTAGTCCATGTGATGACATAAAACTGCTTGTTGAGGTCATTAATTCAGCCAACTGTCTGTTCGTCAAAGTCCACACTGCTGTGTCTACCTCTACAACCTTCAAGGCTGTCCTGTTTACACTGTTACAAATCGAGAGTTAATATAATGAATTATGCGACCAATGGTACAATATGTGTTTATGTTTTTCTATTCCTCTAAAAAATTTATTTCATTATATATATACATGGTAGTATATTATGTAGGTTATATGGGCATTTTCTACTTATTGCTTGTACATATTTGTCTCTTGTTTATTGTTATCAAAACATCGACTTGAGTCCACCTAACTCTTTTCTGATGGTTTTCTTAATTGGGCTTTGGGTCTATAACAGGAGCGTGTACGTCATGCTTCCATGGGAGCATATTGTACAACAACCCCCTCAGCCAAAATTGGTACTTTGGAGGATTTTTTAGATCCAAAATTCAGGGATCCATCTAGTTATCACTAGATGATTATTTTTTTAAAAAAAAATTGGGATTTCATTTTGGAAAATCTAGATCTTTCGCTCCAAAATTTAGATGGTTCCTGTTCAATCTTGGGATGTCATTTTTTATATTTGGCATATTGAGAGAATTCTTCTTCTTTCAGGTTGGTCACTGGGTCCTAGAGATCACATCACCAGAATTTGGGATCCAAAAACGTTTCCTAACTTGAGTTTTGCCTGAGGAAACAAATGGACATTATGCTCCTGTGGGAGCACAAAATCTTTTCATTATAATAATGAGGTGTTTGTAGGTTTGGTTTTTGGTCTCTTGATGCATTGTCCTTTCAAGAATTCATGCCTTAAATGTACAAATTTTGCAGGTTGAATATAGACCATATCAATCAGGAAGAACACTCCAAGCATTGGCAGAGGCCCCTAAGGAAGCTCTTCCTCTTAACTGCAGACCCAATTTTAGCAGTGCATGGCTGACGAAGAATCAGTTCAAGGTAGTATCTGATGGACGGAATTGACCTTTCTTGCCATTTTTGTTCTCCTTTCTCATAGAAATGCTTGTGTTTGAATAGTAACTGACATTCTTATAGATGGAAAGATGTGAAATCTTACTTGGATGTTTCATTAAATTAAAAAGGTTCTATTAAATGCACTAATACATACACACATATGTACATCAGTAGTGCTCTTTCATGCTCTTTGATTTAGTCATTTTCTGCATATGGATCTTCATATTTTTAACACATTCTTTTGATGGTTTTACTCTCTTGCACAGGTGAATGAAACCTATGCTTGCAAGTACACTCCCGGTGCTTCTAAAGTTGACATATATGGCGATGGTTTGTTTAATTGTCACAGGGAAGATCCATCTGCCTTCGAGCTGATGAGGAGATTCTACAATCTGTGAGTAAAGCCTGCATGCTCATTATGTCATTTTATTATTTCTAGACCCCAGGTTAATTTTTTTTTCAAATGACACGATTTGTCAAGTTGAGAGAGAGAGAGAGAGAGAGAGAGAGAGAGAGAGAGAGTAGTAGTAGTCGAGATATACGATATGTAGTATATCTACTCTACTATTAGAGTAGAGTACGTACTACAACTAATTAAATTACTTACATATAGTAATTAATATAGTTAGTT